GTTTAGTAAAACAGATCATTGTCAGATGACAAAATATCCAAATCTCCATTGGAGGAGAGTTGGGATATAAAAGAGGGATATGTGCCAAACTCTGCACACATCATAAGGTGTTCTCTTATTATGAAATTGTGTGGTATAATTCCCTGGGATAGTAACTTCCGCCTAAATATCAAAGGAAAAATTACAACTTCCACTAAAACTTCAATCAACCTTCAACAAAATTGTTATAAGTCAAGTTATTAGTGAGTTAATATAATATATTTTGTAAATTCTCTCTCTGTTTAGGAATATATATATTTTTGTTAGGAATATAATAGATATATAATTGTTAGATATAATGTCAATGTATTCTCATTTATATTTGAATTCATTCCATTAAATTTTTAGTTGTTATTTGTTAATCCGTCTATTGGTAACCTTCCTTTAAATAACAGGCTCCCTACCAACTTATCCATGATACTCCCTGCTCATATAAATTAGCCCTCCTTTTTAGAGATATCTTATATTTTTTATCATGAGATAAGACGTGAATAATCCTTTCTTACCTGATGTCAGATTCTGACTAGATTAAGCTTTAACGATCTTAATCTAATTATATAAGCCATTCTCAGACATTGAGATCGGGTTTAACTACCTGTGCTGAGTAAGTGGTTTAATAGAGATCCCCCTGTAGCCTCTGGCTGTTCACAAAGTGGTGTCAGAAGTTGGGGTATAGCCAACTTCCAGGCTTAGATAGCTTGCCTGTTATAAACAGGTGTCCACTTTAGACAGGTTTTGGCTTAGCTTGAGCGATTGCAACTTGGATTATATATAAATTAATAATTAATTATAAGTAGATTTAAATAGTAATTTATGATAAAATGGAGGGAGAGAATCCGAGGGCTACTTTAAGTGGAATGGGCAGTTTAGTACTCCTCCTACCCACCTATTCCGGCGATTCAAATGGACTAAGTATAACAGACTTCTTTGAGTCCATGACAGATGTTGCCAGACTAGCTACCTGATCCAAGGTCCAAATGTTAACTGTAGCTAGACTAAAATTGATAGGCATTGCCAAAGAATTTGCTAGAAAACACAGAAGGATCAAAGATGTAGAGGATTTTGATAATTTTAAGAAAATTATGATAGAACGATTTGAGAAGATTCCATATTCATTTCAATTACAAAATTTTATGCCTGCGTGCAATGAAGGGGCAAAGATGTGCAAACGTATGCTGTCAGATTACAATCCTTAGTGTCAGAGATAGAAATTGAACAGGTAGGGGCAGATGCAGCTGACACTGCTATAATCCAGCAAATTAAAACTAAAGAGTTAGATGAACGATTAACAGTCCAGTTTATGGGAGGAGTTGATATAAAAATTAGAAATAATCTTTCTAAAAGCCTATAACCGGCGTTAAATATGTTTAATTGCTTACGCTAACGTTTTCGGATCCCACTGGGTCCTTCATCAGGCTATGTTCTATTTGCAACGATCTGTTAGAATGTCAGCTGTCTTTGGAACAAAATTTTAAATATTATATTTAAATATAAAAATTAGACAGAGAGTTATGTCAAGGGAGCCTAGCACTTTTGATGAGGCATTACAAATAGCCATAAGCAAAGAAAGTAGTTAGAGAAAAATTTCCTGACACATATTCCTCATTTCAAGATTACGAAATGCAGGAGCTACAAATAGCTATAAATAAGGTACAGAAGCAAATAAATAAAATGGAAAGGGACGATCCAAATGCAAATTTTCAGAAAGATAGAAAACATTTGAAAGCCACCTTGGCTGAATTTAGAAGTAGATTAAATAACCTAGGTGAAAACCACTCTATACAAAAAAGGAGATTTTATAGGAATAATGATAGAGAGGAGGTTTTCTTTTATCAACCTACCCATAAGATAAATAATCAAAGGAGGAATATGATAAAAGAGACATAGAAATCCAAATCCATACAAATCCTTCGTCAAAGGTTGAGGATTAGAAAACTGATCTAAAATGGAAAGGTAAAATAGGCACAGTACGAACAAAACAAAATTCTGTAATTCTTGTCTATATAAATAACATAACTGTGAAATTGACTATTGATCCCTGTATAGATAATACTTTTATATCAAAAAGGTTAGTGATTAGATTAAATGGTAAAACTCCCATAAAATTTGGAGTTAAATCAAAGTTGAATATAGGAAGAAAACATATTCAGGCTATTGGTATAGTAGAACCAATTTTTAAATTAAGAAGATACAAATTTTCCTTACCTTGTGAAATAGTGAGGTCAGAAAATGCATTCCCATGTGAGGGTGTGATATGTCACGATTTTATCAACTATATAGGTTTAGTATTAGATTTTAACAATGGGAAAATGACTATTCCCAATGGAAAGATCATACAGTTTTGTTCTTCTATAAAATCCCCTATTCACCCAAGGAAATACTGGGAAAAGACTAATCCCCTGAAAAAAAGAAGAAATCAGAGGTGAGATTAATAATACACACCTCAAAAAGTAAACATAAATAAAGTTATCTGACAAACCCCTAGGTCAAATATTGCAAAGATCACAATGAAAATAGACGAAGGGCACATTGAAAAGAGTTGTACAATAGTAAACATAAATGGAATCAAAGGAGCAGAGAACCTTAGAGAAAGATAAAAAGTCAACCAGAGGGGAAAATACTAAAATTAACTCTCCGACCTCAGAGACTGAGTGAAGAACAAAAATGCACAGATGATTCGAATATGTTAGATGTAACAAGTAAAGACAATCTCCAAGATGGGATATTAAAAGAAATGCTTTATCTTTTAGATAACATAAAATTTAAGTTCAAATCGACATTCGAATAATATTTTAGATGTTTAATCCATTGAAATAACATTAATTCGTAACCAATTAGAATTAATATTAGATTTCATTTTAAGCATTGTCTAACTAGAGAACAAACAAGGAAGTATGACTCACTCCTATCCATTTATCAGATAGCATAGAGATAGAGTAAAAGATAATTTTTACTATAAAGGAAACTTCCTGATTTGAAATATCTATATTTTGTTATTTTTCCGTAAAAAAATAAAATAATATAGTCAAATATATTTTACATTAAATAATAGATAGGGATAATGAGTAGGTTAATTAGCTTTAAGTTTAATAGAAAAGAGAGAGAGTATAAAGTGATTTAAATGTAATTGTCAATGATATCTCTTGAGTCACAAAACCATTTAATAATTGTGTTAAGCATTTTGGACTCAATGACTTTTGTGAACTTTAAGAACTCTATGACTAGCATTTGATCTTTCAACAAACTGCAAGTCTAGTTATATAAGGACACCTTTCATCAGAGAAGAATTCCTCACCCAAAATCTACAATACCATGAAGACCCTGCAACTACGATTTCTGTATTCCTGTTTCAGTATACACCAATTAAAACATCAATTTGAGGGAATATTTGATCATCAATAAAGAAGAAAAGACATTTCAAGAAAAGTCCCTACCAACGAAGAAAACTTAGTGCTATTCTCAATGAACTATCAACAAGGGAAGTATAATTAAGAAGATAACTCCAAATGGCAAAATTTATCACTGAGAAACTTCCATGAAGCATTTTATAGATTGTCTAATCCATAACCAATGTATATTTTAATTGATATATTTCATTATGTAAATTTTGTTAATTTGAATTTTCATTAGCATGTTGCATAATTTTAATTGATAAGCATGTATTGCTATTGAAATGGCAAAGTATATATTACTTAATTTTATTTTTGCTTAACGTTCAAGAGCGTGTGCAAAATAACTCATGTTAAAACAATTACCTCTAGATCTGTGTTGAGAAAAATCACGGATATTAATTTATTGGTAAATANTTTTTTTTTTTTTTTGCTTCTTAAAAAAAATATTTTTATTTTCTTCTCATAAAATTCAGTTTTTTCACATAGAATTTCAATTTTAAGAGGAGGACTATAATTTTAAAGTTGTAGTTTTATTAAAAGTTTAAGTGATTAGTTTATTTCCATTTTCATCTTTGAATGAAATTGCTTTTTAATGGATAGTGGTGATAAAATTTTGCATAATGTTTATTAAAAAATTAATTAATTGAAATTAAACTTAGAAGACATTTTAAAGTTACAGGCATACATGTAGAAATACATTTTTACTCTGTCTTGTGGGCACTAAAAAGGTCATTTAATCATACCAATTATGGATTTGGTCAGGCTTATAATAGGGTGTTAGGTTGAGGGACAGGATTAAACATATTTGGGACAGATCATCCCCTGAAATATTACATGGGTTGTTTTGACTGCTCTGGATTTCCACAGCTGAGGTGTCCCTAAGCTGTCCAGCCATATGTACTGTACAAATATTAAGAATTATTTTTAGTCTTAATTATTACAAATAAATATATATCTGATATAAAATATAGATATAGGATATTTTTGGATATGATCTTTGAATTTATTATGTTTGTCATGATTTACCACATAAAATAAATTCAGTTTTTTCAAAAAATTGCTATTATCATTATAAGTTTACTAACTTTATTTATCCATTATATTCAAATGAATTTAATTACATAGTAATATTATAGGAAATTGAATTTGATTTTAAAAAATTAACCAATTTAGTATAAAACCATAAAGAAAAACATTTATAACTGGAGACTAAAGGAGGACAAATAACTGTTTTGGCAAACTGGATATTACTATAAACACATCACAATAATTATCATATTTGAACAATTTACATGAATTAATTTTCAATACTGTATTTCTTGAATTTTCCAAAAAATAGTTTATTATTAACCTAAATATAAAATGAGTTAAATATAATGTTTTTAATGTAATTGTAATTGATATATTCATCATGTCTTTGAATTTAAATATGAAAGAATATGAATTCTCTTTTATTAATTATGTTTAATAAATATATCTTAATATTTTAAAATAATTTTGATTTTGAACAGAATTTACTATATCTTGATATGGAAAAATATAATGAAAAAATTTTTAAAATTTTATAAGGCTCAAGCTAAGCAACGAGCAGGTCGTGCTGGTAGGACAGGACCTGGAAAATGTTATCGTCTCTATACAGAAAGAGCTTACAGAGATGAAATGTTAACCACTCCCGTACCTGAAATTCAGAGAACAAATTTAGCATCAACCGTTTTACAACTCAAGGCAATGGGAATTAATGACTTGCTTTCTTTTGATTTTATGGATGCACCACCAACTGAGGTAATGTTAAAAATTTGATAAATATATTATGATATGTAATATATAATAGCTATATAAATATATTAATATTTATACATTAAAAATTTCAGTCATTAATCATGGCTCTAGAACAGCTTCATTCTCTTAGTGCTTTGGATGATGAAGGACTTCTCACACGTCTTGGCCGTCGGGTTAGTCAACCTTTCAATTCATATAAATATTTATTTATTAATAGAATAATTTTGTTTTAAAATAATTTTATTTAAACTTGTTTGCTAGTTTTTTTATTGCTGTCCTTATAAAACAAGTTATCTTATTTTCCATAAAATCTGTGTTGTAAGTTGAGAATAAATTAATGAAAATAGTATTAGTATACAATAATACATATAGGAAAAACATAATAACATCATATATATCAAATTAAAGCTATGGTAATATATATACAGTAATTGTTGTAAAAGTGGATGATTGTAAAGCAAGAGTCTATTATACACGTGTTCTTTGTTGATTAATTACTATTGCTCAGTAAATGATTTAAAAAATAATCATCAGATCACAATTAGTAATTTATCGTAAATTCTATTAAATCTAAAAAAAATAAGCAAAATGATGGTTTGGTTGATAAGTAAAATCTTTTCCTAGTTTTAACATTTTAACTTAGATTGATATTAAATAAATGGTTGATATCAAAAATGGACAATACTATTTCAATCATTTTATTTATTTTAAAATTTCAGTTAGCTTAATAGGAATAAAAAAAACTGCCTGGAATTTAGAACATTCATGTTTTTAATAATTTCTTCATTATTATACAATCGACCTCCCTATAACACATAGATATGTTCCGGTTTTTATGAATCTATTTTCTATGAGTGTAGCCAATCACAGCACTGCAAGTATGCAGTTTACGGACTATGGCTGTTTGAAAGGTTTCTTCCATAAAATTAATTGATTCTAGACTAATTCAACTCAACATTTCCAAAATATGTATAATTTTTTGGGAATAATCCATATAAACTATGCTATAAACAAAAAATTGTAGGATTACTTACCGAGTGTGTACCGTTCGACTATGCCATTGCTTAAGCTTGTTTTCGTCGTGGAGTGGTGCATCCACGATGAAAGTTTACCGAATTATACGAGTTTTTTAGCATGTTTGTACGAATACTGTCGCAATTTTTTCGCCGTCATATAGGAATCCGAACTATATGAACCCGTTTTATAGGGGGTCGACTGTATTAAAATTTAACAAATGACGATTGTATAATAAAATCTGGCAAAAAATGTGTTTTATTTTATTTTTAAATCTCAATATACAAGAAACTCAATTAAAAATAATTTGTAAGAAATGGTTTAGAGGTTCTTGTATATTATTATTATTATTATTAAAAGAAGAGGGGAGTCCTCCAGGTATCACTCAAAGGTATAACCTGGAGGTTGGAAAAGTTCGGAAGGAAGAGGGAGAGTGATGAAGGGTAGGGGATGAGGATGGGGTAGAATGAAGAAGAGGGCTCATGACGCCTGCATCGCAAAGATTGAAATAGACAAAGTTACAAAAAATGAAAACAGCTGGAATAACATACAATAAATGATACCGTGTACAAGATTGGCGCGATTAAGTAGATACATTGAATTGAATATTTACATTAAGAAGAGAGTATAAACCGACAGGGACATATGAAGAACATAGATGATATACATTGCAGATGATGTAGGATGCAACAGGGATTATAGGTAGGAACGATGATGACAGTATAATTACAAGTTGCTATTACAAGACAACTAACATTAAAGAGCAAGTAGTAACGATAAGACTGCGAGGTGATGAGCGGTGATGGTTACAAGTATAAGCCGAGTACAGGAAGTAAAACATTAGCGAACAGGGTTGTACGAAGTCCAAACCAAGTGTATCATTTTTAGAAGATATGGGAAGAAACCAAGCTGCAGGACACAGACCAAGGCAGGGAGGCTTGCTTAAGTCGGTCTGTGGCTNTAATGACATTTGCCTAAGTCATTTTAGAAACATTTTAAAAAGTAGGCAAAGCCAAACCTCTTTGGATAGATATTTTACCAAGCGACCTCTATCCAGTGAAAGTGCTGGTGGAAGTGAAGGAAAGAAAGCAAAAAGCAGTGAATAAAAATTCACTGCTTTTTGCTTTCTTTCCTTCACTTCCACCAGCACTTTCACTGAATAGAGGTGGCTTGGTAAAATATCTAGCCAAAGAGGTTTGGCTTTGCCTACTTTTTAAAATGTTTCTAAAATGACTTAGGCAAATGTCATTAAACTGAGCAGCAATACGACCAGTGTGAACCTTTTCGGGATGTTTCTTTTCAATAAAATCAGTCACTTTCTGATAATACTTCGAAATTTCCTTTATTGAGCGAGATCCTTTCACGGCGAAGCAAACACGCGGACTGAGACCAACGAACAGAAGTGAATAAAAAAATGGCGCTGCGAACTAATGTAACGTCATATGGTGAGTTTTTGTTCGTATCGTGGAGCAAAAATATGTTCGAATTTCGTGTTGTATCCTGAAAATTTCGTATGCTGGGACGTTCGTATCCTGAGGTACCACTGTACACATAACCATCAGTATATGCAGTTTCAATGAGTATGGGCTTTGGTTGTTGTGAGGGAAGTTCAATATTGCCAGCTCAATGAACCTTAATGCAAGCAATGCTGAAATAATCCCTTCTCCCCACTTCTATTCACCATTTGTTATTAGGAAAAAGTGAATTTGTTTTTTTTAAGTGCTGTGTTCTTATTTGGATAGTTAATTTTTTATTTTCACTTTTAGTGTAATTTATGCAAACATATACAAGGTGCACTCAAAAATAAAAAATGTCTGACATGCTTATTTATTGAGAGTTGTCACCTTCAGAATAAGTTCCTTCTGCAGCTATACAAAGATTCCACTGCTTATCCCAGTTTTCAAAACATTCATGGAACTCTTTTTTTTTTTTATGAAATTGTTAAGTACTTGCTGCAGTTCTGTTTGAATGTCATCAATGTTCTCAAATCACTTTTTTCAGCCATGGAAATAGAAAAAGTCACACTTTGCTATAAATCTTGTGAATAAGGAGGGTAAAAACCACAGCCTTCTTTTTTGCAATAAACTGTTGAATAGAGATAGCTGTGTGAGCAGGAGCACTGTCATAATGCAACAATCAGTTCTGAGTTTTCCAAAGATCTGGGGCCGTATTCTGGTCATCATCTCTCGTCTTTTGTCTCTCACAAGCCAGTCACTGATTGGCTAATCATTTGTTTATGTCTTGAGAGATTAACGCATCTTTCCAAATGCAATTCTGAACAACTTTTTCTCTTGATGATTCTCTTGTTTGTCAGAGACAAGCAGATAGTTGTCTTTCGACCAGTCTATCATCTTTTGCCTCAATTTCGTTATATCCAATATGGATGACTGGATTCTACTTACACTGTATAATTGTATTAGAGAACATTCTCTATCTTGGGAAAGAATATTTCAAGAGAAAAAAATGTTTCTGATTTTTTTTTCCAGTGCCTACTCAGAAACATCACTGATTACCCTTTTTTTTTTTTAAACATAAAGTTTGGGTTTCTTAAATGTTATTTATTTAAAGAAATCTCTTTATCCATGTCTACTTTCTCCTCATTGTTTTATTGCAATATCTTATTTTATACTATTACTAAAATAAAATTAATTTTATTTTATTATTTATAACAAATAAATGGGGATGAATAAATTTCATATTTTATCTCAAATTTTTTCCTAATTTTATCTCAAATATGTCTTAATTAATTAATTAAATAATTAA